TTTGTCATAATTGAACTTTGACTTCACATAATGATAGTAGCAACAATAGAATAGAATAGAATAGCTCTCTTACGAATACTTTTAGCACTATATAAAGAAATAAAATATTGTTAAGATATTTTACAATCTTAGCTGACATGTTTAGTTTTACAATGGCAATAAAATGCTTACAAATAACAGATTCAAACAAAATAACACATATATTCACCAGACTTCACCACCATATACACATGCAGAAACTTGTCTAGAAGTATTGTAATAAAATATTTGCCACTAAACTGCAAGAAATCAAAAGGTTGCACCCATTATATTAAAAATTTACTCCGATATCACACAAGTTGAAGCCTGATAGTGGATTATACTATCTAGGTTCGCTACGTCATAATAGTAGCTACTATGACGTCTAGTCTAAAGTAATGCCTTTTCAAATCAACCAAGCAATTCAGATGCTCTAGCAGTTTTCAAAGTATCCACCAAAATCCAAGAAAGTGTAACTTAGAGAATGTATTCCAAATATTCTATCAAATTATTCTATTACTAATGGCACCAGTCACCTAGTGTATATTACCTAGATGGACTAAGATGTGACATACTAAATGCAACATCTTTAAAATTCAGTATAACAAGGAAATAGATTTGGAGAAAGATAAACTTGACATAATTCCAATGTTCTTCCTCCCAGAAACATGGCCTATAACGAATGTAAAATATGTGCAGAAATCATACAACTATCACATGTATTCATGAAAGCAACTACATGTCTGTGTGACCTGACTGAGATAGAGGAAATTTAATTTGCGATCTCAGTATATCCATGATAGTGGAAAATGAGGGAGGATTCCATGGCTCACTTCAACATTATCAAAAGTAACTTTAGATAACATATTAAACAATCAGGAAACTAAATGACGTAAGCTTAAAGACATGTAAAAGAAACATATTTAGACCAGAAAGTCTCAATAATAGTCACCACTTGAGGATTCAAGTCACTTGGAATATATGTCATGCCTCTTCCTGTTAAAGCCAACAACTTCTATCACCTACAAAGTCACATTCATTTTAATGCATCCCATGCCATGTAAATAATCATGAGGCTCGACAGATGATCCTCTTATTTGATTGTCAAAAATAAAACTTGTAGCAAAAGCTAGAATGTACTATCTCAAAGAGAAACAATTTCAAGAATTGCAAAACATGATTTTCATTTGGTCTTTCATAAATCAAACTTACTATCTGAACATTGCAATCTGTAACCTGATAAAGAAAATTCCTCACAAACATTGGATACAACACAACTGTAACAACTAAGCAATATCTATGTGATAAAATAAAATTCGAGGACTACGAGATAAATCAACAAAATATCACCAACCATCCTATTTAACATGCCCTATGAACATCTGGAACTAAGCCCTTTGACCCCTTAGCAACGGTATTATCTCTGCAACAAGGAACAACTCTAGTCCTATATATTGATATTCATGAACCAGACAATTAGGCAAGAGATGAAGAGTTCTGCAACTAATATTAACAACATAGTATCTGAAATAGTGTAAGATGCCTCTTGTTTCTATCTAAATTGACAATTTAAACTCTACCTCAAAATTCTTCAGATAAAGCAAAGATAGAATAGAACTACTAGCCTTCAGTACTTATTATTTTTACTTCAATTTTTTTCTTATCCATATCACCAATTTAGTGTTCATATATTTTATCAATATTCCATCAGATATATGCACCAATAACCTAGAACTTGGAGGAATGTAAAATTTCATTCACTCAACACAAAATATCACAAAGCATACACTAGATTTAGAGAAACCTCAACAATCAACAATGTATTTTGACAGAAAAATCAAAGATTATAGATCATAATTAAGATCGAAAACTAAAAATTATCATCATAGATATATGAGGAGAACTTTACTTATTTAAATACACATAACTTACACGTTTTGATCTTCACGACAAATTGAATTGAAAAGAAATCAATAATTGGGCGACAAGAAGAATGAAATAGAGAGTGCATGAACCTACAACAATTCAAGAAGGGGAGAGAGATGGATCTGCAAAATCAGAAGGAGATGACAGAGAGTGAGAGATGATTCCTTGAGGAGAAAGAGACGAGTTGCGCGCCACGGACGATAGGGAAGAGGTCTACCCTATTCTGTGTGGTAACAGTGGCGGTAGAGGGTAATGTTTTGCCTTGGGGAATATATTTAGTGAAAAAATTGTATGGAAGATTAATTTTAAATGTCGGTAATTAGTCATTCCTTCCCGTCAATTGCTCATATGCCACAAATACTTGTGCCCAGAGAAAATTTTAGCGGCATTTACAAATGTCGTTAAAAACTAATTTTGTTGTAGTGTTACCTCTACAAAAAAGAACATAGATTAGAAAAAGATGATAAGGGGAAGGAAAATAAGAGATCACAAGAAGAATACTTACTTTGAAGAGCTGAGAAAGAAAGTTAGATGGATAGAAAGAACAAAACGCAACGGAAAATTCAATAATTAAAAGACAAATAACAGGGAAGAAGAAAGAGAAGAGAAAACAGTGAAACTATTTTGCAGAGATAGAGTTGCTCAGCATAAGCCATTACTTTCTTGAGTTGCAACTACTGTTGTTCGATACTCAGCTTCAGTTATTGACAACAACACTATTGGTTGCCTTTTGCTGCACCAAGAAACTACTCTAGCTTCAAGCTTAAACACAAATCCAATAGTTGAACGACGAGTCCTGCATAGTCAGAGTCGCATTGACCAACCAACTTGCATTCTTCACTTCTTTTATACAGAAGACCATAACTAATTATACTTTTCACATATCTTAGCATTCGTCGAGCAACCTACATATGGTGCTTCTTTGGATTGTGCATGTAGCGACTCATCACACCAACTTCAAAAGGAATATCAGGTTGAGTCTGAGTTAAATAAATCAGACTATCTACCAATTGTCATATCTTCTAAATTTTTTCCTTTGTGTGCACACATTTTATCATTTGGTTCAATTGGAGTTGCAATAGGCTTGCACCCCAACATTCCAAATTTCTTCAACAAGTCTCTGAAATACTTTCGCTGATGAAGTTATTTCTCATAGAGTAAGATCAATCTCCAAACCAAGAAAATGATTAAGCTATCCAAGTTCTTTCATATGAAATAGAACAAATAAATTTTCCTTCGTTTGAATGATTTCTTCTTCATTATCCCAGTTACAATCAAATCATCGATATAGACTAGCACTATATCTTGCTTCCCTCCATCGACTTTGACAAACAAACTTGAATTTGCATATGTAATTAAATAACCACTTTGAGTTAAAAATTCAACAATTTTACTGTACCAGGCCCTTGGCGATTGCTTTAATCCATAGGGCGCCTCCCGCAACTTACAAACATATCCAGGGTGCTCTTGACTTTGAAAACCCATTGGTTGAGCCATGTAAATCTCCCGATCTAGCTCCCCATCTAAAAGTACATTTTTAACATCCATGTGTTAATGATCCACAATAAATAACGAAAAACCTTTTTCAAGGAGTTCATTGCGGCGACAAAGACGAAAGAAAGAAGGAGATAAGATTAGGAAATTCTATGTTTTAGGGTAGGGGTGTTCATGGGTCGGTTTGGATCGGTTATTGGTCAAAATCAAAATCAAATCAACTTAATTGGTTTTAAAATTATCAAAATCAAACAAAATATAATATATATTTATCGGTTTGGTTGTTATCGGTTTCGGTTCGGTTTGGTTCGGTTATTCAGTTATTAACCATAGACAAAAATAAAAGAAATAATTCATTCAAAACGTGAAAAAAGTGAAAACAATCCATTCAAAACGTGAAAACAATCCATTCAAAACGAAAATAGTTAGAATGACTGACATTACATAACTTTCAAAATTTACTATGAATAAAGCTTCAAAATTTATTATTTTGGCCTAGAAGGAAGAGACAGTGACATTTTCAATCTCATAAAAAATTGTCATAGACACTCATATACATGAAACCAATAAAATAAATATTCTCACTTTGGGCATTTTTTGTTTTCATAAGTAAATTATAAATAAATTTTAATGAAAACATATATAAGATCTTTAAAATTAATATATTATGTATGTATAATAATGAAATATATGTATATAATTTGTCGGTTTGGTTTGGTTATTTTTTCAGTTTTTTCGAACAAAATCATAACCAACCCAAATATTATCGGTTTTTAAAAATCTAAAACCAAACCACACCTAACCCAAATAAAATCGATTTATTTAATCGATTTGGTTTGATTATTTCAATTTGGATCGGATGAACACCCCAATTTTAGGGTATTAATATAAAGCCTGGACGGTTCCCTTGATGAATCGGGCCAGGAGTTTTTGTTGGATTTGACTTTTTTTATTTTGTTTTGATTTTTATTCTAATTTTAGATCCGTCTAAATCTATTTGTACAAATCATTTATTTGAATAAAAGAGCCTGAAGTTTCACCAAAATGTATTTAAAAAAGGATAATTATCCCTTGTAAATTTTAAATTAAAATAATAATAAATAAATAACAATAAAAAATATATCCCTTGTAAATTAACATTTGAAAAGTAAGTCAAAAAATAAAAAGTAGGGGAAACCTACTTTTGGTTTTTAATTTATTTTAAGTCATTTCTAATAATGCCAACCACTTCCTAACTTATTTTAAGTTGTTTTTATATTTACCAAACATTTTCAGAAGTTCAAAACTGAACTTAAAAATAAATTTGACCAATTTTTAAGTCAATTCAAACACCATCTTAATTGTAAATATTCCTCCATTAATAATTATTTAAAAATACTTTTTCAACTTAAAAAAAAAGTAATTAAAATCACTTTTTATGTTTTCGCGAACACTTTGAAAACTGAAAAAAAAAAAAAAACTTACTAAAAATAAGCCAAATAATCCAAACGGCCACAATTATTTTGGGCTTAAATTTACCATTTTTAAAAACGGGTTATAACTATTGATTTGAGATATCAGATTCAGAATTTGCTGTTGGATTCATGTCATCACGCTAATAGCATTCGCTTGCTTCGTACCGAAGTCGTAGACGAATCCGAAATCCCCCATTTTCTACCCGCACAATCACTCTGAATGTTCACTTAACCTGCTTCGGTTCTGAGAGAATTTGCTTCAATTTTTCTTTCAATTTCATAGGTTTGTTCGTTTTTTCATTGTGTTGAATGTATTTGAGTTTCCAGATCTTGTTGAAGTGTATGCTTTGATACCCTAACGGATTGTTTGACATTGATTTTTTGAACTTCGAGCTTTTTTCTCATTTTAAGTTATTTGATTGGATTTGTATAGTCTACTTTTATAACTGTATTTTTTGATTGCAGGTGTCAAAATTGGATTTGATTTGTTTGGATTGAGTGACAATGGTTTCCTTCGAAATGAATGATCGGAAAAGTAAGTCAACTTGTCATGGCTTGTGAACAACATTAACTTTGTTTTTCTGCTGGTTATTTCATATTGTAGGCTTTGAAGACTTGTATTACTAACTAACATCGGAATGTTGAATGCACAAACGGGTATCAATGAACTTTGATAGTTTTTTGTAATTTATATTGGCATCTCCTTGGGAACTATGTCCAACTAGATGTCGTGGTCTATCCTATGTTTGAAATGGTTATTGGCATTATGGATATTTTGTATCTGATTAGTTTTAACTTGATATAGGGAATCTTGATCATGTTTGTCTTAGCTCAAGAGTACAGAACAATTTAAATACGTATAGTTTGGTGTAATTGTTACATTGATTTTTTTTCTAGCATGGACATACTAGGCTTTTTAGGTAAAAGTTTTCCTTAATTAGAGTGATTAGTTCTGCAGTGTTCCTATTTTATTGAGTGCGACATTAGCAATTTTACCGGGTCTTTTAGCAAACATTTTGTGTATTTGATTGTATATAAAGTTTAATATATTATTTAACTTGTATTATATTTTATAATTACGAATGAAAGAGAATGTTAAATTAATAGTCGAAAAGTTAGTTTGACTTTGAGAGAGAAGACATTAGATCAAAACTTAAAAATTGATGAGTTAAATAACTTTGAATTTCAGAAACGTGTGAGTTGCATATTTAATATTTTTTAGAATGTTGTTGAACTTTCGGACAGCCCAAAATGAAAAAATGTGTCTTATAAACTGGGATAGAGGGAGTATTGATGATTCTGCTACTTAATGCAAATCTAGATGTTGAAAGAAAGTTACATAAGAAAGGAAGTATTTTCTGTTCTATTAAGTTGTTATGTCTACTAAGCTTTGGATGCTTGTTGAAACAGAGATTGGGCTAGGGTTGACTGGATTCGGAGTGTTTTTCTCATTCTTTGGGATTATTTTCTTCTTTGATAAGGGACTAATTGCCATGGGGAACGTAAGTACAATTATGCTGCCACGATCATTCTATCTCTCAATTTTTCCATTTTGTTCATCAGCTTTTATGTTCTTTCTGCTAATCCCCAGTTGACACTCTGTTATTTTACCGAATCAGATCCTCTTCTTCTCAGGGGTGGCACTAACCATTGGTCTCAAGTCATCGTTGCAATTTTTTATGAAACGCAGCAACTATAAGGTTTACTTAGTTTTATATGTTCTTTTCCTTCTGCTTGTCACCCCCTCTTTCCTCTTGTTCTCTGTCGAGATAAGTATTTTGCTGATATATCTCTTGTGTTTCTACTACTAATCTTGTTTATTCTTTTTCTCTTTCCTTGTTTCGTAGGGAACAGCTGCATTTGGTGCTGGATTTTTCTTTGTTATCATTGGTTGGCCTATATTAGGAATGATTCTCGAGGCTTATGGATTCATTGTACTCTTCAGGTATATTGAATATATGTTCCCTTGAATGTTATACTTTCTCTTATTATTCCTTTAGTTGCTGATGAATTGTTTTGTACAGCGGTTTCTGGCCAACACTATCAGTATTCCTGCAAAAGATACCTATTCTAGGTTGGATTTTCCAGCAGCCGTTTGTCAGATCGGTATGTTATGTTTTCAAAAGTCATATATCTCATTGCATTACTACTGTGTCAGAAGAAGTTTGTTAAATAGTTTCTGCTGCAAAGCCGTTTATCTAAGTCTAAGGTGGCCCTTGGACTAGCAATCATTTTTCTATCTTTTACTTTGCTTTTACTTTGTTCTTGGTTTTACGATTTTCTGAATGGGGGAAAGGCACATCCTTGAATTACACATGAAAAATTCAGCAACTGCTCTTAACCATATTAGCCTTTGTCATGTCATCATATTCTGTGTAATAAAAGAAAGAAATCCTTGAAGAACTTATAAGAATAATACAGTAAAGTTTCACTTATTCCCACCCTATAGGTCTACTTCAATATATCTCAACCACCACTCTAAATTCAACACACTAGCTTTTTCTACACACCCTATTTACCTTTGTTCTAGCATTTCACAATCTTTTGAACTCTATAGCCCCCATATATTTTCCTCAAGGACAGATGAGTTCACTGTAAAGTGTAAATTACCCCTTGTTTGATCATTTGATCAATAACAATGCATAGATGGAATGTCTTCTAACTAAGCTTTACAAACAATTAATATTCTTATGTGATGCCCTTTAATACAACTAGTGGTTATGGTACATATTGATCGTTTGCCTTTCTATTTCTTCTTCATTAAGTCCACATTGATTCTGAAATATTGTAGGTCATTGTGAACATCTTCCTTTTATATGATTTTGGAGTTACTTTGTCCATTTTTAGCATGTCCAATTCGTGTCCCACCTAGGGTTTGGTGCATGTGGAGTACCATCTCAATGACTTTCTATCGTAATATCATCTATGCATTCTACTTGCACTCTCTGTTGAATCAAATCATTTCTAATTTGCTTAATAATGTTGCTCAGGCTTATTTCTTAGTAGTCTCATTTTTATGACACTCATTACGTATATATTTAGGACCAACATTCACCTCCATATAATGTGTTGGTCTCATGACCATTGTTCTTGGTTGTACATCGTTATTCTATAGACTTGCCTTTCACTTTGTTAGGGACCTCCTTATCACATAGCACTTTCATGACACTCCTCCATTTTAACCATCTTATTTTTAATTCTATATATCTTTATCTATTGTGCCTTTTCTTGGAAGAGTAAACTTATATCTGAATTGTCTGCATTTAAACACCATAATCCCATTTAATCACTCCACATTCATTCTCATTTTGTGTGATAAACTTGCAATGCATATATTCTACCCAGTGTTATCAAAGGCGAAAAAGCACAAAAAAGCACAAAAAAGCTCTAAGGTCCATGGGGCTTTAAGCACAAAGTGCAAATAAAGCGTGGCTTTAATGAAAAATGGCGCAAAGGGAGAAAAAATACAAATGTATATGTTTAGTCCAAGTCTAATAATTATAAGCATCAATGACAATTATATGACCAAAGAAATTGAATTTTTTTTTTATGATAAAGTGAAATATCATTTGTTTAGTGTCACTTCTTCATAAGAGATTCATTGGCAAGGAAAAGTTTGTCTTAGAACCTTGATGACGACACTGAAGCGCTCAACACGTTTAGAGCCTCGCTTCAGGGCTTGAGCGCGCCTTTGATAACACTGAATTTCTACCATACTTTTACTTATCTTAGAATCCTCCCTCTATAGCTTGCTTCTTCATATTTCTAACTTTTGGTTAGCGTGCTAATTTCACAACTTAACAAATATCCTCTACGAAGGTCATGGACCATGGAAACAACATCCTGTATACTATTTAGCTCATCCCAAGATTAACTGGAACTCTTCTATATACCCGGAGGGGGCATTCCCATCATTATGAAATTATTTAACTTAACAAAAACTCTCTTTTATAGTTCTTGCACTTGTGATCTCTCTTTTATACACATTGTTTTATGGCATTCATATATTTTATACGATCTTGTTTCTCTCAGGCACCCATCATTTTTCTCTGATACTTTATCATAGACTCTCTCTAGATCAATGGATTTCATGTGGAAATCATCATTCTGTATCTCCAGATAGATTTTCAGCAACCTTATTATATATAATATAGCTTCTATTGTAGATCTACCATGCATAAATCCAAGCGGGTTTTTGCTGCCCTTGGAAGACCCACAAAACCATGCTTTGTTGGTTGTTCCCTGAAGTTCATTGTATATAACTCATGAGTTTGATTTGATGACATCTACCAAATGCAAAAATGTATTTGGCAGGTCTCCCTTCTACTTTTAGCAAATTCTTAACATATTTAATGACTTAACTTCTAGGAGGCACATAGCGTTGTTGTACCCATTATACAAGGTTGCATTAAGTTAAATGGAGAGTCCATTTAAGATAGATTGAGATTGAATTTTTTGTCTCACATGTATGAAAATCAGGATTTTTCAGCATGGTAGATAGTGGGGAGAGTATGAGAAGGAGGAATTGAGTATTCTTATTACTGCTAGGGGTGCATAAATGGGTAGGTCAAAGGGTAACTCAGTTTAAGACCACCAATAGATAGGGTAAGATAGGCTGGGGCCTGGATCCAAAATTTAAAATTGGATATACATAGGGTTGATTTTGGTGTGAAAGGGTTAAAATTATTAGATCAGCTTGATAATCTATCTATTATAATTCATACACTTCCAAAAATTCTAACCCATGTTTTCATACTAAGCTATCATCAGTTCATCACTTAGCTAACTAGATCTTTTATTTTGAAACGCCAAGTAATAATGTTTCAACTTAATATTGATTTCAACGTTATGAGAGTTCAAGAAAGCCATGACATTGAAAACTTCATTTCTTTTAAAAAGAGAGAAACTTCTTTGATAGGCAAGGAAATTTATATTGAAATGATTATATGCCATTTTAGAAACATTTAATCAATCTTGTGTTTGTAAAACATTTAATAGACTCTTGATGCTGTTTTTGAAGCATTTTGCCAATATGAATTGCCATATCATGCTTAATACAATTATAAATTAATATTATAGGTTCCATACGTTCTACCAGGTAATGAGCCGATATTTATGGGTTGGATAGGGAAAAGTTTAAAATTTGGTTGAAGTTACAAATTTTAAAATCAAACTTAAAGTTGGTAAGATGATTTCTGATACTATGGCTATTTTTAGACTGCCCTTTTCCTTTCATAATCCTCTTTTCTTGGCACCTGGGATCAGTTTCGCAAGGCTTACATAGGTGGAGTTTGAGATTCTTATTGCCGGCCCAATTTGTTTGGATCGAGTAGAATGGATATTAGAGGATTTATATAACCAATCTGACTATTTTGAGATTGAGATGTAATTAGACTGAATGGAACATAAAAGATCCAGGGCAAAGCTATGAACTTATGTTACCTTATTCACTCCTAGCTTCCTTACATGTGGAAGTTAAAAAATATATTTGGAGTTCCTACCTGTTTCTTTCTTCTCCTTTTTTTTTTTTTCTGGGTAAAAGAGTTAAGGCCTTAATTGAGTTGGAGATGAGGAGGATTACTAGATCTGGTTTAGTAAATGGTGGCCAGAAGTTTGCAGTGGCATGACTAAAGAAAAATTGTTAACCTTTTCTCCAGAGACACATTTGGTTAGAAATAGAAAAGCTGAGACAAATCAAGGGTTTTATTAGTGTTAAACAAGTCTTTCAGATCTTTCCCAATAGCTGCCATGACCCAATTAGCTGTGATGGCACCTTACCCTAACCCTCTAGGCAAACCACAAAAGCATTTCAAACTACAACATGTAATTAAGAGCCAATGTCATTTGCTAGGCAGGGGAGATTTAGAGGTTTAAGAATATTTTGTTGGTTTTATCATCTATATTCAAAAGCCGCTATTCGAGGTAGAATTTACCCTGTAAAAAGAATGTTAGGGACAACAGGCCCTCTCCCTATCACGTTAGCTCGTCTCTCCACACCATGGCTCACCCTCTTATTGGTAGAGTTTCCTCACCAAGGAATGACCATCCACTTAGTCCTTCCCTTGCTTTACCGACATTTTAACTCATTGCCTTCCAGTCTTTTTTCAAGTTACCCTATAGCTCTCCTTGCAGTAGCCACCTCACCCTGTTGCACCTCCTCATCCCTGAGCCGGTTCCCTCTCTTTCTATTGCCATTTCCCCCTCTCATGTATATCGGATTCCAGGAATCTAAAGAAGTCTGAGCCGTAATCCCTTGCTCTTAAATCCATCCTGTATTTGTCCTATCTCTGCATTTAGGAGTTTGGGAAGAAGGGTGTGCTGAAACAGGGAGAACTGGGTTACAGTTACACAAAACAGAGCAAGCCATGTAGGCAGAAGATTGCAACTGGTATTAAAAGATAGCTAAATGCTAAGAGGTGGTGTGCTATACTGTAGAAGTAGGTACGTTGGATGGAGGTGGCAGTGGAGGGGGAGGAGAGAACACGTAAGTGAGAGCACTGAGATATGGATCAGCACATGGCTGGTTAGGCTTCTGTCAGATCAGGCTGTGTATGCTGGATTAGTGGTTCAGAGAAACCACATTCCTTTCTCCTGGTTGGTCTTAAAATTCATATGGCTCCCAAAATTCGTTTCCTGCACATGTTTTTGAAGACAGTGATGTACTGCTGATGCTCCAACTTGAGAATTGAGATGGACTAAATTTTACAGACAGGACCAAATATTCAGCAACAGGACTAAAAATGAATTTAACTCAGACTTATTTTGGGATCTGTCACTTAGATTTGGAAAAGATCCCTACTGTATGACTTCATGGTCTTGTTTAGAAGACTTGTTCCCTCCCTAACCCTAATTAGATATGATCATACAAGCCGTTTTCACGAATTAACTATTTTACACATACTTGTAGAGTTTGGCAAGACTTTGCCTGACCATGGAAATTATGAGTGTTCCATTCTTCATCATCACTATTATCTTATCTGGGACTTCCCTATTTTAATTAAATAAATCAAATATTCTGTTTGGTTATTAGACACAGGGTTATGGAGGTCGAGGATCATGGTAGAAGGTTAGTAGGTAGTTAGTTGAGTGATGCCTCCTTGCATTCCAGTAACATTAGTTCTAATCTCGTTGTTTCTTGCCCTTCGCTTTCTGTTAATACCTGTTGTTTTTTGTTTCGATTATCACAATATTTTGCTGTTGTACTGTTCCTTTTCTGAATGCTATGTAATGATTTCATTATTATTTGCTATGTCTGTATTTTATTAATATTGCTTTGTTACGAGTCTTTGTGCATTTGTTGAAAATTGCACCATGCCACTTTTGTTTAGTTTCTTTTGCCTGAGACTGTTTGTTCTTCCCTGCAGTTCTTTGACCGCTACCGTGGAAAACGTGTCCCTGTATAAACCTTAGTTGAATGATGCAATGAAGTGAACATCAGTTAACCTCACTTGTACGTTTGTAAAGTACTCTGTTCTCAAGATTGATGTCTCGAAGGGTGTTGACAGTATAGTTTGTTTGCAGTGTATGTTGTGAGCCTCGACGCCAACCAAACTTTTTTGACGATTATCTTTTTTTATTTTTTATAATTCTGGTGTTTGGGCAGCTAACACGATTTTTTTCTTACTATATCTTAGTTTCTAGAGCAAAAAAATAATAATTTTGATCATGTGCTAAAATTTCCAATTTTATCTTTTTCCAATTCATTGATTTATGGAATGTTTTTTTCTTACTCTAATGGACGATTCTTTTTCCAGGTACATAGCTGTTCTGTTCTGTTCTAGTTAATTTATTTGTTCTTTCTGTTGGTTTAAATAAATAGGTTGTTAAAGTAGATGTTTATTAGTCGGTCATTGTTTCCCTTCCATGTCGTTGTCATTTTTTTCCCTTCAGAATCTATTTATCTAACTAACAATATCCTTAATTTTTTAAAAAAAAAGGAAAAATACATAAATATTCATGTTATTTTTTCTAATTTCTACGTAATTGCAAATTATGTATCTGATAAAATTGGGACGATAGACGTATTCAGTTAGATTTTGAGATGGTTTGTGGCGAAACCTATGTTTTCATTCAACTAACATGTCTCAATTTACTAAGTGTAGATAGTTTCAAGAGTTACAAATCCATAATCAAATCTCAAATAAAAAAAGTGAGTTGATTTAGGTTAAGCCTGTTAAGAGTTGCGAGTTTGTTGTAGCTGATCCTAAGAACTTTGTTTATTTGCTATCCTATCCAGAGGACGAGGTACATATTAATACATTATTGACTCTTTGTTGCTTACTTGCTTTATTCTTGCGTCCAAGGTGCATATTAATATAGTAGGATAGTGACGTTTTCAATTAAAAAATAAAAAAATAGACAGGTTGAGATGTGATCACTCATACAAGTTAAATAGCAAGTGTCACCTACTGTAATGGCCCTAACCATGCATTAGCCATGGACATATTTGAGTGTTGTTAATACCTATTAGGCCTGAAATGACAGGAAATCAAGAATTTACAAAGAGTTTTATGACACAGAATAAAGAACTAATAGAAAAAGAGAAAATTAAAAAATAATTTTAAAGTAAAAATAAAAAATTTCAAACTCTCTTTACCAGCCCCCAGTACTAAAACTTGAACAAAACATGCCAAGGCTTTGCTCCTCTCCTTTTGTTTTGTTAATAATTTAAAAATTCATAACGTCAGCAACTCATATCTTCTCAGACCAATACATAAAATATCAAGAAAGATTTGCCCCTGCAAAGGTAATAAGTAGTTTTTAAGTTATATATAATAACAATATATATATTTTTTTTAATGTTATCATTATAATTTGTACATTATAGTATGTTAGTTGTCATTCAGTCAATATTTCTCATAGAGATTTACATGTAATTACTTTATACGTCATTCATCCCTGTTTATGTAAATGTGTTATTACTTGAGGAGTCAAATCGTTTTTTCTTTAATTATAATTGTTTCAAACTACTTTTTTTTTAAAAAAAAACTTTAACTATGTTAACTTAGTACTTTTCATGTAGTTTTTAAATATGTAAATTTTATTTGAATAAAATGAAGAATCTACGTCAAACTTAGGTATATTGACCCTCATACTCCTAATCTCTTCACATAAATTGAGACGGATGAAATAAATAATTTGATTGTATAAATATTTTTCCTCACAAAAATAAATATTATTTTGGTAGTAATAGTAACTAATAACCAAGTATTTGCGAGTTGATTAATCAATGCAACTTGAGCATTATCATAAAAAAAAAAGAGCATGAGTTTTGCAACCAAAGTAGGAAGTAGGCTTCAAAAAAAAAATATTAACTCAATCTTGAATACTTGAAAGAGACCACATATATATAGATTTCCATAGCACTTGAATTTAACCATCAATTCTTCTACTTCTGTTTTTCTAATACTAAGCTCAATAGCTTAAATTATAAACAAAAGCAATGGCTCCAACATTGGCAACAATCTCTATTAATTCCAACACATGGGATGTCAAAATTTTTGTTGTAAATGAAGGGCATGGAGTGAAAGGTCTTGCAGACATGGGCATTCAAACACTTCCTAAACAATACATTCAACCTCTCGAAGAGCGAATAACTTCAAGTGATGTGGTGGTGGATGAAGAACAATGTATACCAGTCATTGATCTATCAAATTGGAATGATACGAAAGTGGACAACATGATATGTAATGCAGCAGAGAAATGGGGTTTTTTCCAGATTGTTAATCATGGAATTCCAATAAAAGTTTTTGAGAATGTTAAAGATGCTACTCATAGGTTCTTTGCTTTGTCTGCTCAAGAAAAGAACAAGTACTCAAAAGACTATTCTTGTACAAATAATGTTCGTTTTGGGACAAGCTTTACTCCTCAAGCTGAAAGGGCTTTAGAGTGGAAAGATTACCTTAGCCTCTTTTATGTTTCTGACGAAGAAGCATCTGCACTTTGGCCTCCTGCTTGCAGGTTCAGTTCTCATTTTAAGTTCGATTAAATATTGTTTCATCTAAAAGTTTAAATTGTTAGAGAAAATATACTTTTTTTATTTGATCATATTATATCTCATCATGGCAAGGGTGGAATCATTAGATAAGGATTCAGACGAATTTATTCGTATTAGGATTTTATTTAACCCTTCCCCCTCCCCCAAGGAGCTCCCACCTTTGTTTCCTTGGTGACTCGAACTCACAACGTTAAGGTTGAAAGTGAGGGGTGCCATCTCAGCAACTTCCTCTTGTCCATATTAGGAAATTCATTAAATATGTATGCATATTTATTCGCAAACACAACAGCTAATAAGATGAGCTATGGGTTAAGTGACAAGTTCAAAACCCATAAACTTCTGACTCTGCAACCGCTTTTTGGGTTGTAGTGAAATTTGGATCAAGACCTCTTGTCTACTCTGATGCCTTGATCAATCGTGTGACTTTCTTATTTAAAAGTTTAATTATATTTAAAGAGAATATATATTGTTTAATGCTTATGATTATATTATGTGTCATCCTAACTGTTTTTGAAAATTTTGTTTGTTGTTTAATCTCAGGGATGAAGCACTTGAGTTCATGAAAAAGACTGAGCTTGTGATCAAAAGACTGATGGAATCACTAATGAAAGGACTAAATGTGAAGGAAATTGATGAAGATAGGGAATCACTTCTAATGGGTTCCAAAAGGATCAACCTTAACTACTATCCTAAATGTCCAAACCCCGAACTTACTGTCGGGGTAGGACGCCACTCTGATGTCTCAACATTAACCATCTTACTTCAAGACAACATCGGAGGACTCTACGTGAAAAAACTGGGCAATGAAACTTGGCTTCCCGTCCCACCAATAAGTGGAGCGCTTGTGATTAACATCGGTGATGCACTTCAAATCCTGAGCAATGGTCGATACAAGAGTATCGAGCATCGTGTTATTGCTAATGGAAGCAATAACAGAGTTTCAGTGCCAATATTTGTGAACCCTAAGCCTAATGATGTTATTGGTCCTTTACAAGAAGTGTTAGAAAGCGGTGAGAAGGCAGTGTATAAGCAAGTTCTTTATTCGGATTATGTCAAGCATTTCTTCAGAAAAGCTCATGATGGGAAGGACACCGTTGATTTTGCAAAGAGATGATATACTTCATTGTATCAAGTGAAACAAAATCTTATTAATTTTTTTTTTTTTCATTTCCAAAGGTGAGGAGGAAACCTAATGAAAAGATGTCATGACATGTAATACTGATAAACCCTTCTTATGAATAATTGTACTACTTTGAACTAATAGAATAAGTTTGTTTTCACAAAAGAAAAAAGAAACTTTTGTATTCAATATATCTTAATTTATATGACGATGTTTGATTAAATGGATAATTTAAAAAATAAATAGAAACTTTGGACACATAACTTAAATATAAACAAAATTCAAATTTTATTTTTGAATGAAGTTAGACGATACAACTAAGGTGTAGAAGAGATCCACATATCACTTCCTTTCTATCTTTCCTTAAAAAACTACTTTTATATCCAATGAAGTCCTAACAAATCATATCACTAAAAGTAGAAAGTGTTATAAAATAGAGAAAACGTTAAACTTAAATTGCAAGAGGAGAGAGAAGGAATAAGTAAAGTAGAAAGTAGAAGTAAATTTTTATTTTCTCTATATTTGATATCCTGCATTGCCTTTTATAGGGAAAATATTACTTGGAGAAGTAATGTTGCTACATTAAATGGTGGGTCCCATGACATCTACACATTTACAACACTCCTCCTTAGATGTTCATATATATATATATATATATAGATAATACACTTTGTTTGTTGCCTCATTAAAACCTTATCTAGAATATTCAGTGGGATAAAATCTTAGTTAAGGGAAAAATAGTGCAGCGCACATTTACTTCCCCGATGATGGCGTCACTTAATGTATCGAAGATAACACATTTCAATCCTGTATCTCAGCTTCTCAAAGGTTGACGTTGGTAATGAATTGGTGAATATATCTGCTAAATTATCACTGGAATGAACTTGTTGAACATCTATATCACCCTTCATTTATAGATCATGAGTAAAAAAGAATTTTGGTGAAATATGTTTTGTTCTATCTCCTTTGATGTATCCTCCTCTTAGTTGAGCTATACATGCAACATTGTCTTCATATAATGTTGTTGGGATGTCTCCTTTTAAGGGAAGACCACATGTTTCCTGGATGTGTTGAGTTATTGATCTCAACCACACACATTCTCGACTTGCTTCATGGATGACTATTATCTCTGCATGATTTGAAGAAGTAGCAACCATAGTTTGTTTTGTTGAACGTCATTATATAGTTGTACCTCTACATGTAAATGAATAACCTGTCTGAGATCAACCTTTATATGAATCAAACAAATATCTTGCATCTGCATAGCCAATTAATTGTGAATCAAATTCTTTTAAATAAAATAGTCCTATATTGATGGTCCCTTGAAGATATCTAAATATATGTTTAATACCATTCCAGTGTCTTCGTGTTAGGGAAAAACTAAATCTTGCTAATAAATTTACTGAAAAAGATATGTCTGGTTGAGAATTACTAACAAGGTACATCAATGCACCAATTGCACTAAGATATGTTATTTCAGAACTAACAAGTTCTTCGTCATTTTCATGAGGTAGAAATTGATCTTTATTAATATCAAGTGATCTCACAATCATTGGGTACATAATGGATCTGCTTTATCCATGTAAAATCTCTTTAAAATATTTTTAGTATATG